ACTAAGTGGTAGCTATCTCGGAGTGCTGGAGTTATTATTTGTGAATATAAAATAATATTGCAAACTGGAGAAAAACTGACTTGTAACACTGGTAATGTCGAAAAAAACTTTACAGTTCTCTGTTGCCATAAAAACTGTCACGATAAATTACACTAAACCAAATATAATATTAAAGCATCACATTATATGGAGATTTAATAAATTTAAGACCTTTTATAACAGCATGAATAATGATTCCACTGAATGGAACTAACACCATCACAAGTCATGATCAGAAATGATGAAAATTCAGTATCGTGGTGAGACTAGCAAAAAACTCAGAAACCATTCCACTACAGTATTGTTGTTATCGAACGTTACACCAGCTCGATCATTTGCTCGGGTGACCAACATCTGTGAAGGTCGGTGGAAAACTGAGGCAAGCTGCGAAAAGTCAGTTATCAAAATCTGCTTCTTGCTTTCTGGCAGCTAGGGATGCAGCATCGTGGCGACGGCTGCCAAAAAAATCGAAATAAAAACAGACACCAGTCAGCAACAGAGCTGTTGCTCATTCGGAAAGATCAGGTAGACAGAGCAATGCCATCAGAGAAACGTGATTTGAAACATCATCTCTAGCGACCTCAAAAATAACTACATGAAGCTGTTCCGGTGTTGTGCAAACAACGGACAGTCCATTATGAACACCTTCTTCGAGCACCGAAGAGTGCGTCAGTACACTTCGTACCGGGAAGCTTGTACACAGAAGTCGATGATCGATTTGATAATCGTATGGACGCTCGGTGATGGATGTTCCCGTTAAAAGAGGCGCAGAGCTATCAACCGATCATCACCTTGTTGTTGGCACGCTGCGCTGTAAGAAATGGAGCACAATAAGAAGATCCGGTGGCAGAAGCAACCAGAGAATCAAATGGTAAGCATTATTTTCGGTGAATACAAGAGCGAAGTTTGAAAAAAAAACATCGTATGACGGTTTGAACAGATCCCGGTGATGACAACTGATGTTGAAAGCTCTTTAAGAGCGGCATACTCGAGGCTGCCGCCAAATACTGCAGATTTAAACGGGTTGGCCTACAGCCTGGATGTCAGAAAAGATCTTCCTTACGGAAACGAGAGGTACAACTGGCAGTTAAAGAGAAGAAGGCTGCATTCAAAAATTGGGTTAGAAACAAATAGCCTTCTACTCACGTGCAACACGTTGAAGCATGCAAGACAGCAGCGAAACTGATTCCTGGGAGTTCGGTGAGCTGTTTCCAAATTTCGAAACGTAAAAATCGAAGTCGAATTTCCAAACGGAAAAACAAGGTATTACAGCAGACCACC